AGGGGGGCCGCGATCGGCCGAACCTGCCGCGTCAGCAGGTAAATAAACTGGCCCAGCCCGCCAGGGTGCTTACCCTGGCGAGCCGCGTGCCAAACGTTGCCGACCCCTGCACTACTGTTTCCACTTTGCACAGGTGAGAGCCAGTTCTGGTACTGGATCTGTGCAGTCTCTGAATTCCAAGTCCAAGGACTTCCATTGCGCTCAGTCCGAATGCGGAGGTCCAAGTGAGAAATACCCATTATGTTTTCACACTGTCTAGCTCTGAGGGCTAGAGCATCAGCTGGTTTAATCATTTTAGTTTTATTGACTTCAACAGAGCTACCTCCGTTTAAACCAGCTGAGGATCTGCCCCTAACTGTTTAAATGGAGGTAGTGCCCATTAATTTTTAGAAGAGCTGAAAAGATGGGGACACTGAGTTCCCAGTAAGAGTCAGCACAATCTCCTTTGGGCTCCTTGAAAATGCCAGCCGACTTGCATATCCCAGTAAGGACATAACACCCATTGTGATTTCTTTTCAAAGTTATTTTTTAAAATGCTAAGGCATTCTTGTGAGAACAGTACCAGCAGAGAGGCAAGTTAGAGAGTAAATCCCAGTACACAGCTGAATGCTTGTATTACCAGGAAATTTAGGATTTTACTATAAACATATATTTCATGAAGCTGTCATGGGCACCCCTAAAATCTTGACATTTACCATGCAGTGGCATTTAACCTTTAGCAAGGCATCTGGAGTATTCCCCTGTGCTTAGGATGCAGAATACCACATTTACTGCAAGAACTTTAACTTCTGAGAACAGCAAGTGTAAAGATTTTAGTTGAGTTTACGGTGTTAGAATCTGCTAATAAGAACACAATGAAATAGTTTGCATGCCTCCCAAGAACCGTGAATAATATATTTCCTTCATTAGCCTAACTTTGGTTGCTTGTGTACACAGAATTCAGAGGCTTAAAGAAACCAAAACACTTCAATGTCATATGTACATGAAGAAGTAGCAGCATTTTTAACAGATGGCACAGAAGGTTCTTCACCAGCCAATTAACACATGAAAGATTTCCCCCCTCCCCCTGGCACTTCAGGTCCTTTAGCATTACATTTCCAACTCAGTCAGGTTCTCCATTTATACAAAGTAATGTTTTCTACATTGATTTTTCTTCTATACCATGATATAAAGTTAATATGACAGAATGTGAGAATTCCTACTATTTTTGGCTAGCTCCCTGAATTAACTGTTGTAAGGAGGGATGTTAAAGTAACTGATTTATGGTCTGGTTCTTCACTTTGAAAATTGCCAGTGCTGATTACTGGGAAGAAGGACACTTCTACTCACATTAGTAATTGCTAGTTATATTTTGCATCCTCAATATAGAAAACATACAGAAACTCATGAGAAACTAGCTGTGGAAAGATTTTATAAAAAGTCAAAATGAAATGTTTTTACCTTATTGAAATGAGAAAGTCAAAACAATTCACTTCACCTCTTTTCCATCAAACAAATTTCATCAAAATAGACACATTCCTGAGGAGCATTTCAATTTTGACAAAACTGTTCCATTGAAAAATTTCACACGAGCGCTTTGACATGCTATTACTTCTGTGAAATTTTGCAAATTGCTTTTTTAAAATATAAAGGACAAGAAAAGTTAAATGTTACTAATTGATCCAAAGCCCACTGAAGTCAATGGGAGTCTTTCCAATGAATGGACTTTGGATCTGTTCGAAAATGAGATCTTACTTTCTCGTTCTTATTCAAATGTGTCCAAGTTCTAGTAGAAACTGCTGATTTCATTGTGCTTTCACCATGCTAGTAAGCTGATTGGACAACACTGATCTTGTTTTAATGGAACTCCTGATATTTTAGTTCTGAATCCATGATGTTTAGAACCTCTGAATCAAAATACCAAGGCCCAACTAGACCTTAACCTTGAATTCTACCCTAAATCTAATCCTGGTTCATATGTTACCACAACCTTCTTGACTTGGGTCTAACCATAGTATGAATTTAGAGATGGCATCCCAAGAAGTATTTGCATTATGAGTTGTCTTTTTGACATGCAGCTGCTATAGAAACCAAGTGGGTGGGTTGACTTTCTAACAAAAAAAAAAAAACAAATGCGCCAGTCTAAATAGGGTAAAAGTTCAGTTTATCATTCTCCTTCAGATGGAGAAAGGGATTAAAAAAATATCAAAATCAAACCTAGACAAAGTTTACTATAAATTACAACATAACATGAGAGCACTAACCCACAACAAAAAGCTCACTAGCCAGCTATAAACCACAGCTTTCCCAGCTAGCCCTCTTCACCTGATGGGTCTGATTATTTTTTATTTTTAAACTTTTCCCCTGAATCTCCAGTTCCAATTTCCTAGTCTCCTGGTACCTGTGCTGCCAGTCGGGTTTGGCTAATTTGGCTCTTCATAGATTTCAGAGTTTAAAGCCAGAACGGATCATTAGATCATATAATCTGACCTCACCCAGTTACCTTTATATTGCACCCAAAAACTTGGGTGAGACTAAAGCATTTCAGTCCTCAGGAGACTAGACTGTTGTGTGCCCTAGACAGAGAACAGGAGAGGCTGAGATGCCACTAATGCCCAAGGCCCTTGCAATGGCTGTAATTGATTATATGAGATATGACCACATGATCCTAGCAGGAGAGCCACTCTCCATGCTATAGAAGGCAAAATCACCTTCGGGTCCCCTGCTAATCTGACCTGGGGGGAAATTTCTTCCCAACCCCAAATGTGGCGATCAGTTTGACCTCTAATTATTCATAGCCCAACTTTTACAGTGTATGCATTTACCTAGATGTCAGTTCCCCAGTATTTTCAAAGGACAGAAAAAGAGAGTGCTGTGGCAATTAAAACAAAAGGAAGAAAATGAAAGGAAAATGTACAAGATCTTATCTTTTTTCATATCACATTTGGTCACATTAATTCCACAGAAAACAAGAACTAAATCTCATGTAAAATAATAAATAAAACAGTGTCTTCAAGAGACAGGCTATCCTGTAATAGCAGCTATAACTGTAAGCCTTGTACATATTTCATATTCTATAATACTGTGGCAATTTTTTGAATAATTAAGTATATAAATTACTGGCTCAAATTCACAATGCTCATTGTGTCACCCTATGACAAGAATAAAATGAAGGCACAGTTTGAAACATCATGGTATTCTGTGTTCAATTTTCACATTATACACAATAACATTTATTTATAATTTTAATCCTATATATTGATTTCTGAGTTATACAAAGACAGACAAAATGATACAATAAGTGGCTGTGCAAAGATACATAACCAGACAGATTGCCAGTGCCATCTATAACTTAAAAAAAACCACAAGTTTTTCTTCATTCCACGCAGAATGTTTTAGTTAAACAAAATGACTTGCTCACTATCACCTGAGTATAAAGCCACATGAAACTTGTTTAATAAGGATAACACCATATGTCAACATGTGCTTGTTTTTTTAAAATGAAACATTTGGAAAAAGAATTATGGACCAGATGACCAGTTGGTGTTAATTGGTTTAGCAAAATAGAGTAAGTGAAGATATGCTGATTTATGCTATCTGAGAATCTGGCCTAAATGTAATAAAATTAGACTTGAATTAGATTTGTTATTCACAAACAAAATAATCTTCATTTAAGATTAAAAGTTGCTCTTATCGATAAACTAAAGCATAAAAAATAGGAAATACAAAATTAAGGATTAGAATGGATTAAAAAGTTGCAAAGTCAAGCACTCTTAACTGAAGAAATGCCAGAAGGAACTTTGATCATCCAACCAAAATGTAGCCTTTCACTATACGTAGCATTGATTACCTATGAAAAAATTGGTATAAATGAATTACCCAGCATCTCATAGGAACTCTTTGGGAGGTACAGGATTAGAAGCCAAGTCTCCAAGGCAGCTTTCAGGTGACTTAACTATGAGACTCTCCTTTCCCTTCCTGCATCCCCTGCCTCATTTGCTCTACTAGTCTTACAACTTCTGCAACAAAATGAGGCAGGGTTCCTATAGACAACAGGCCCATTCACTACACAACACTGATTCATCCCCAGAACAGACTGGTCTTGTGCACTGGA